GGGGGGGGGGCAGGGAGAGGCCCCTGGGGCTGGGCACTTGAAAGGGGAGCTGTGTGGGCAGCAGGGCAGGCTGGTGAGGGGCCAGCTGGCATCCAGCGTGAGAGGTAGATGGAACTCAGCGGGCACGAGTGGCAGAGAGCAGAGGGAGCACTGGGCGGGGGGTGCCGAAGGGGCACAGGGGGAGGGGCAAGGCAAGGAGGGATGGCCAGGACCCTGTTGTGTTAACTCACAGCTCTGATCGGCAGCCCTGCCCTTGGGGACCTGGTATGTGGGGCAGTTCTCTCTGATTTGCGGGGAGGAGGGGCAGCTCTCAAAGTGCTTAGGGGTGGTAGGGGGCCAGCCTCGGTTAATAACTTAATATCATCTCTCTCTCTCTATCTCTATCAATCGCTCACTCTTTTTTTCTTTTTCTCTCTGTCTAGTTTTTCTTCATTTATCTTCTCCCCTTGCCTGGTTTCCAAAGTGCAGTTAGAATGACTAATTTTTAACCTCCAGGGGGAGGAGCCAAGCCAAGCCTTTCTTTGCACCCAGGCTTCTGGGGAAGCAGAGAGGCCCTTAGCCTGGAGGGGGAACCTCTGTCAAGGAACTGTGCAGGGGGGGCTCTCTCTTGTGTGTGTGTAGGGGCTGAGTTGAGGGCATCTTCCCCCACCCCACATTCTTCCATCCCCTACGGTCAAGATGGCTTGTCCCCTCTTAGATCTCCCTCCCTTCCCCTACCTTCTTAGAGGATGGGGTCCTGGGAACTGCAGGACACGGTCCCCCAGCCTCCCACACTGTCTTTTTCATAGCAAGTTCATGTGTTTGCCCTGTCCCAGGGCTGGAGGTTCTGAGGAGGGACGGGCAGTGCGGGGTGTGTGTGTGGGAGCTGAATCTATCCAAGGATGAGAGGAAGGAGAGAAGAGGGGTGGGGGGCCTCCCTCAGCCCCCCAGCTCTGCCCCTTCTCTCCAGGCTCCTCCCCACCAGCTCCGCACACCCTCTGGCCGCCTGAGGCTTTAGACTTCCTGATCCTCAAAGACCTCGAGGAAGAGTGGGGGGAACAGTTCGGTGGGGCACTCGACTTTCATGTGGAGGAAGCGGCTGGCGTGGCAGGCCCCGATCATGCGGAGGTCAGTCACCTTCATCAGCAGCTTGGGCCAGAAGTGCGGAATGTTGTGTTTGCGGTGGTTCACGTAGTGCTCGAACGCCAGCAGGTACGCCTCCTGACTCTTCTCGATCTTGTCCACACACAGCAGGCCCGAGCGGTCTGCAGGGAAAAGGGGCGTGAGCTTGAGTGGGTGAAGGGAGATAGACTTGGAGAGGCTAGGGTGGGGAAGGGGAGGGAAAGAGACTGCAGCGTGTGCATGGGAGCAAGAGCAGGGTGGAGGAGGGAGGAGTCTGAGCCGCCGGGGGTTTCGAGAGAGGTAGTGAGTAAAGAAGACAGAAGGACTGAGAGGTGAGAAGAGAGGGGAGGCTTGGAGACAGGGCAGGACTAGGGGGCAAAGAGAAGAGTTGGTGGGAAGAGGGGCAGAGGGGGGGTAGGGGATAGGTGGTTGGGGTTGTGGAACAAAGGCAAATGTGAGT